TCCCGCCGCGAGCATGGCCCATGTCCAGCAACGGCGGGCGGCACGAACAGGTGCCGTGGCCAGTCCACCCCCTCCACCGCCGCCAGCACCAGCACCTGAGCCGCCGGGCTTCTCCTGGAAGTCTTGGAAGCCCAATCCCGCCGTCACGCCTGTCGCCCGTGGTCACGGCCAGATGATGTCGCCGCCACCTCGGGCAGGACTATTTGGTACGTCTTGCTCTCATGCCGGATGAGCGCGTCTGATACTGAACGTCTCATAGGTCCGTCAACCCCACCGCCACAGTAAACGCGACTTACGAGTCTCGCTTTTACGATCTTTCCTTATGATGCTCTCTGTGCCGATTCGTGATCATGCTGTTGCTTTAAGTTGTGCCATAGAACCAGTCGCTCTCGTGCTCCGTCAATGCAATATTGGATAATAGTGATGTACTGTCAAGAATGCTCATCGTACCGCCGTCCTGGGATCATGTCCGGCAATCTCCGCGTCGGTGATAATGTACCGCGAGCGCGCCTAACCAAGCGCTCTTCCAAACGCCCATGAGCGTCCGATCGTGTACATTCAACCCTTTCTCATTTTGCCATATCCGGTCAATATCACGCCTACATCTGGCAAATGAATATCTCCCGAGCCCAGAACGACAGGCAGTCCGCATGTAGTCATGAATGGGTTCATGCTCCCCGCTGCGAACCTGTCGAAGGCTTCATTTTACTACTTACGGGTAGAAAGCGCTGTGCTTCTAGACGCGGTAGCCAGTTGGATGGGTTGGGGCGCGTGTATGTCGCAGAAGGCGCTTTAGTATGGCCTGTAGGACCGCGCGTCCTCGGCGTGTTTTGGTACGTCTGCGCTTCCTAGTAAACCCTGAAGTTGAAGCGCTCATCTCTCCCGAATGAACAGTAGGATGATTATCCCTTTTTGAGCGCGCGCGTTGCGTCTCGAGCATGCCTCAGCATTGCCTACGCAACGTTGCAAGGATCCAACCTGCAGTGGGCCTTCGAGGCGCGACCTTCCCTCCCATGCCGACCCTTCTCTCTTGCACGCCACTCGTCAACCAGAACTCATTACGTCCCTTCGGAGGAGACGCGTTCTGGCTTGAGTCTAATCGATCCCGTCATGCAACTCGGGACTGCATCTGATACCACTAGCGATTCGAGTCGTCCCAGCATTCCCTCTCTGCTGCGTTCAGGACAAGATATCTTGCAAGGCAAGGTGCGAAGCTCGACTTGATATAGTGGTCCCCATTCTGACATCGTACGTACCTAGACTCAATGCGCCAAGCTGTATGGGATGTCACCATCGAGCCTACCTCGGTCTCTCGTTCGAGAACCCTCGTCAGTGCTCGCGCAGATCAGATCTAGGGTTGTCCCTCATGTAGCCCACCGCGCGTAGCGAGAAACGTCTGAATAAGCATGTGATACCGTCACTCACGACCGCATTTCCCCAGTCAGTACACGGACACACGGTTGTAGTTGCTGGTGACTGACAAACATTCAGCGAACCTTCCGAAGAATACGGTGGGGCCATGACGCCAGGAGAGTGGGTCCCGTTCACCCACCCGCTCGGATTCCTCTACTTCTTTCACCCCGCGAAAGTACGTACCGTGCATTGCTCCCACCACGAGCTCTGTGCATATAAGGCTAACTCGCGCTCCAGAGGATTTGGACGAGCACGTACATGTACAGTCGACCCCACCACGAGCAAGTCGAGCAGTGCATTTCCCTACTAGAAGACGTTCGACACGGCTTCGCCACGTCCGACGCTTTGCAACGACTTCCGGAGCGGTACGAGCTGGTCGTGAATGCGACTACGGACGGACGAACGGGCGGCTTCTCGTGGGGGTACTACTATATCGACCACGCCACGCTTTCCGTCTTTTGGTTGGACGAGAGGGATCTACATGATGAGATGGCGGATATGCCAGGGTCGATATCACCGGATCATATATGTGCGTTCATGGCCTTCAGCTGTACATGGGTATGAGCTAAGGAACCTGTAGATCATAAGATTCAAGAGCTCTATTGGTGAGGTCGCATGTAGCCACTGGTATTCGTCCTTTGGGATCTTCTAACCCAAGTTCCAGGCGACATAGCTACCTTTTCCCTCATGAGGGCCGGATCTCACAATTCCTCTCCCCATCGCTGCTCAAGCTGCACGACTGCATCAGATTCTACCTGCTAGGTGCGTATCTCCCTTCCTGCTGCCCATAGAGATCCCAACCGCCACTATCCACACGGCGCTCAATCCCGGGATCTCAGCTTCCTCCTCTCAGGACCTTAGCTGACTAGTGTCGCAACAGATCGTTCCATGTCCTCCGACAGCGCTTGTCTCTACTCGAAATCGCAGCTCGAGCAGATGCGCGACGACGTGAGGAGCGCGCGAGATCGGTTGAAGGCAGAAGACCCGTTCTCACCGGACCTCGTCTCTAGTCTATGTCAGTCTCCTTCCACCGAACCTACTGCATTTCATCTCGCTTATGTGCTTCTCCCGCCAGCCCAAATCCAGATGTGCATGGGTGAGTCACATATCTCGCTCGTATCGCACGTCCGAACTCAACGCATCTCGTCAAGCCAGACAGCGGTATCGCAATGCGCATGGCCAACCTTTCGTGCGCCTAAGCGCTACCACCAGCATATTCCCTCCACCTACCACATGGGCCGTATACCCCGGAAGCTTCACGTTCGGCGTCATCTCCAACATCATCCTCCTGGGAGAACCGTTCGTCATGCTGAAAGACCTGAACGCGGTGATGGTGGACGGCATGATGCTGCTAGCCGGTCGGAAGGAGCTCCTGGAACGACTGGCGGTGCAGTGGGGACAGCTACTGATCCTCGTATGTCCACGATCCTACTTTTCCTTGCACGATTGCTCATACATGCGCTTCCAGGGAACCGTCATGCTGGCCGTCAATGTAACCTTCCTCGCCATCCCCGGCGTCGTCCCCGACATCTTCGGCGAGGGCGGATCAAGAGATTGCGCGCGATACTCATACATCAGCATACTCTTCGGCCTCGCCAGCATCGCGGCGACATTGGCACATGTCCGGTATACTCCGATCGATCGGGACGAGACGGTGGCGACTACAGCGCCGTACGAGCATCTGCACTGGTTCGGGCCGGAAGTCGTCGCGACGCTGTACAGCACGCCCTTTGCGCTTCTACTGTGGTCGTACGTGTATCTCTCCAGCACTTGGTGCAGACTACTTATTGAAGGAGCTGACCATCAATGCTTAGGATGATCATGTTCATAGTGGCCATCGCCAAAGCGCCGTTCTCTCCTGTCGTCCCTCCGGTGGTGTACACGTTCTTGGCGCTCTTCTCTGTGGTACTGGTGATGCACTACGTCACGGCCTGGTTCGAGCCGCGGCTGGAGGTGTGGAAGGAGGCTAGGTTAGTCGAAAGTGTTCTATACATGACACACGCTTATAGTGACTCTCGGCTGCACAGGGCCCGAGCGTGCAATACTGTTAATGGGATGATGTGCAAGAGAGGCACTCCGATGTCTGGAGATGGCGTAGAGATGGGTCGGTTTGAGGCCTGAGTGTACAACCTATCTTAGAGGAGCAACCGTCGTTGTGCACACGTAGTATATGCTACACTATCCCTGCCGATCTGAGGCTTGAAGACAGGACGTACCGAGTGCCAGCACCTACGATGCACGGTGTCTCCATGTACGATCGTGAGCATTGACACCCTTCGTGGGAATATATCGGTACTTCCCGCGATAACGAGCAGCGCGGGTTGTCCGTATACCCTGACCTTTTCCGGATCCCCCTTGGTCTCGACAAGTTCGGACACGTCTTCACCCCCTACCGTCAGCCTGTACTACCTCACGGATGTCGGGCAACCCTCCGAATGTGCACTGCGCCATCTCTCGCCTGGACGCAGACTGCTTGAAAACCATCTTCGAGCTCATCGCAGATTGCGATCGTCCATTCCCTGAAACAGCAGCCTCGGTGGGCACGTGCTGGATGAAGATTGGACACGTATGCCATCTTTGGCGCTCCACCTTGCTGGCTATGCCTACGCTTTGGGCACGCGATCTGTGCGCGTTCGGATAGGGTGTCTCTTTCGACGCCATGTTGGTCCGCGCACAAGATGCGCCTCTCCATCTTGACTGCTTCCCGAAATTACTCAAGCGCACCCATACTACCATGATCGATGTGCCGGATGACGCACTTGCTCGCATGGCGACATTCGTTTATCGGGCGCATGGATTTTCATGTCCGATATATTCTCTGGCTGGTTTGAACACCGTCACCGAGGCTGTCTCGCAACGTACCATTGGTCTTAAGGTGTTGGAAGTACACATGGACACGCGTAAAGCGGAGGTCCTGGGATCCCAACCCGTGCATCTTCCTGCAGGGTCCTCCATCACTCACCTGACTTTGAGAGGAATCGTCATCGTGCCTCCCCTCAATGGCTCTCTGACGCTGCTGTCTATTCACCTACCTGACTGGTCAAGAGCCATGCGGTTCACCATCGACGAGATTGCGGAAGTCTTACTTCATAATCCTGCGTTGGAGGAGCTGGATATGGTTGACGCGATACGTGAAGGGCGGACTCGGGCAGCTGGTCTGCCTCGTATCGCTTTACCAACACTCACACGATTCAGCATACAGCAGAGGGCTGCGGCCAACGGATGTCCCTCATCTTTTGAACTCCTCTCAAGGATGCAACTTCCTGCAGTCAACAATCTTTCCATAGTCGACAGATCACTTGATACGCCGGCTCAGGTCTCCCAAGCGTTCGATTGCATACTGAGCTCTTGCGCCGCATCTCCCATCCTCGCTTTGGCGGAATATTCACTTCACAGCGATCGTGACTGCTTCAGCGCAAGAAATGAACACCCTCCTCCCTCGAGGTTTGGCTTCACCCTCGTCGGTCTGCGACGTGGCCCTCTGTTAACATCGGACTTTCCTTCCCTCCATCTTTCATCGACATACGACGCTCGTCCCACCGAAGCCGATGCTTCCGACACGCTCGCTATCGTTCTGCGCCGCCTCAAAACGAGCGGCATATCCGACCGCATCATAGAACTCAGATGGTGCCCGCATCGGGTAGAGGTTCTACAGCCTGACTATTGGAACACAGTTCTGCAGTCGTTTCCGAACGTCTCCCATATCGAAGTCCGAGGCGAGCCAGCGCTTACCACTCTATTCGACATCCTCGGCCAACACTGCAACGCTGAGCCCGATTGCGTACTCCCTCGACTACAGTCTATGAAAATCGGAAACTACTATCGGCTTGAAAACTTTCCGTCCGTCTTCCCATGGTCGGCACACTTCGAGTGGATGCTCGGTCAGCGTGCGACGGCGGGGTTGCCGATCCGGGAGATCCGATTCGAGAATCTCGTTACACCTGCGAGCGAGGCTCAGATACCGCGTTATGCGGCCGTTGTTGCATACATGGAGGATTTGGCGCGGAGGTTGGGGGTTGGGGTGGCCGTGCAGGTATGGAAGTCCGAGTCAGGGTCGGAGTTAGGGACGACTTTCGTGTTAGAGCATTGAATCAGTTGTGGTACTTGTAGCTGTGTAAAGGTCTTGTCTTACGGATGAGGGATATATTGATACGGATGAAGATGAAGGCAATTGTTGCACCGAGATCAGCTGCAGGATGTGAACGGCGAAATTGACGTGCAGATGGGAACATTTCGGCATTGTCCGCGGCAGCGACTGTCCGACTTGACCAACTCCCCTCCCCAGCTCTCATCACGCTAGCGGCTAGCACTCCTTACCTGTCGGTCAACAACAACATTCCTTCCTTGTACTTTCAGAGTGCCATCAGTATTGTCCCCATGCTCAAGCATTCTTTGGGAGCACGCAGCCCCATCTTTCGTCTGGAAACGGACTCGCTCCGGGCCATCTTCGAGTTCGTCGCAGACGTCGATCGCCCGCATCCCGATTCCCCATCCGTGGTCAAATGCTGGATGAAGATAGGGCACATATGTCGACTATGGCGCCTGATTCTCCTAGATATGCCAGCGCTGTGGGCGCGCGATCTATGTGTGTTCGGATGGCATACCTCGTTCGATATGATCTTAGGCCGTGCGCGAGATGCGCCTCTTTGTCTCGACTTCTTCCCCAATTTGCGCCATGGAGGTCTAGAAGATGCGCCGAGTGACCTTATTGCTCGTATGGCTCCGCTAGTAGCTAGAGCGCGTGAGCTCTCATATTTCGTCGAGGCTTCTAAGGACTACGATACCATCGTCGCGGCCATCTCTCAGCACACAAGCAGCTTGAAGGAGCTGACTGTAGACTGGTACATGCCAAAAACGGCAGATGCGACATGGCACCCTGTGCGGCTCCCTCCTGATTCCTGTATCAATTACCTTGAAATGCAAAATATCATTATATTCCCTCCACTCAACGGGTGTTTGACACGGTTGATCATCAATCTTATCAGCCTGCCGGATGAAATCCGGTTTCCCCACCACGAGATTGTAGACATTTTACTCGGCAATCCGGCGCTAGAGTTAGTGGAGATGAGAAACGCCATGCGTGAAGGTCACACTCAGCTCGGTCGGCCTCGCATTGTCCTGCCAAAGCTAGCGCACTTCGGCGTACAACGTAACGCCGCTCGTGCATGCCCGTCTACGTTTTCCCTCCTCGCGCTCTTGGACTTACCTGCGGTTACGAACCTGAGGATAATAGAGAGTCACGTCAGTACAAGAGCGCAGGTCTCTGAAGGTTTTGATGCCGTACTCAGAGCGTGCTCTACCTCTCCTATCCTCGCGTCGCCCACTATCTCGCTTCACGTCGACAGGGAATGGACATTTAGAACCCAACTCCCTCCCATGCTGAAGGTCTCTATCAGCTCTACACCATGCGCGATTTCGCCGTCAGGGAACTCAATACACCCCGTACTTATACTTTCCACGGCTCCTGATTCGCACGCTGAGCTGGAAAGAACAGAGTCAAACGCAATGCTTATGGCCGTATTGCATCAGCTCGAGGATGTTGGCCTACCCGATCGCGTCGTCAGACTATCATGGGCACCAGATCCATCCGAAGCAGAGCCCGAGTATTGGTCCACGGTACTATGCCCTTTCCCGAACGTGTCCTACCTCACGGTCAGAGGAAACACGAATGCGATTATCAACTCGCTTGACACGCTTAGACGCTGCGACGACGATGTCCTCGTGGTTCCTCACTTGAGTTGCTTGGAGATCAGCCACGACAAGGTCCTCGAGGAGTTTCCATGGTCGGCGCACTTCGAGGTTATGCTCCACGAGCGAGCAGGGGCGGGAAGACCTATTCGGGAGGTTCGTCTCGGAAAGCCACTGCTCAAGCCTGCGCCACACGAAACCTCGTTGCCGCGTTATGTAGCTGTCATAGATTACATGGAGGCTATAGCGCGAAGACTGGACGCCAGTATGGTCGTGCAAGAATGGTCGGAGAGCTGGGCTCGCGGAGCTTTAGGAACAGCGTTCATTCTCGATTACAAAGACTCCAGTGTATGAGGGTAGATCTAATGTTGTCTGGATAAGAATGATGTAGAAGACTGTGATAGCGGTGGTGGAAGAGATAAGACAGGAAGATTGTAGCTATGCCAACTTGCAATGTCCAGAAGAAAAGGAAGTTCACCCTACATCCCAAATTAATCACACGCATGCCGGATGCTATGCCAACGGAGCAAACTTGTGGGCGGGAGGGTATCCTGTCGCATAGCCACCCTGCACGTATGCTTGACTGTCCAACACCGGCGACTGGTCGCTCGCGTACAACATCCTGCTTGCCTCCTCTTCACGGATGAGGAGTCTGGATGGGTGCAGTATCACTAGGGTGCCGAGCGCAAGGAGGATCAGAACTGCGTCAAAGATGACTACAGAGCAGAGACTTCAGTATGAACCTTATAGGGGAGTGAGCGGATGGGCCTACTGAAGAGCTTCTCGTTCGACGCGACTGGTCCGTCGTAACCTCCTGCGAGCTCAGCCGAACGATAGATCGACCTGAGTAGGATGGCTCGTCATCTCCTTCATTCCAAGTCTCGCGAACTCGCACTTACCGCACAAGAATCATGACAGTCATGAAGATCATGCAGCCCACGAGCATCTTGACGCGTCTCGTGAGATCTCCACGATAATACTGGTCCTTCGTATGGTTCTCGAATGGATTGCGTTTGAGGTAGCGTACGAGGAACTCGGTTCCAAGTGCGGCATAGACGACAAGAGCAAGGAGCTGGAAGATGATGCCGATCAGGGATATGGTACCACCCTGCGAGCCCCATGAGTACAGTCGTGACATCTAGAAAAGTGTGTTACTGACGAGTTTTGCCGTCTTGCTCTGGGCTGAGAGGCCACCGCCGGACATCTGTACAAACATTGCGACGCAGTCCTGTGAGTGTTGTCAGCGAAGTGCGGGGAACATTATGAGCTAGTACGCACGCAGGTGAGAAAGATTCTGCTATCTGATCAAGCAAGGTTCATTAACACATAGTAAGTACGAGAACATCTGGCCGACGTACACTTGCGGACGCCAAGTCGGCTATAGCAGGGGCCTAACCTCGTGATGACCCGGCCGAGCAGGATGAAGTTGGCGCCGAGCAAGGGAGTGGGGCCAAATAGAGTAAACAGAGAACTATTGAACGATTAGAGTGATACATGCAAGGTGCGAATGAGTGCGTACTTCAACAGATAGGGAATCAACGAAGTGCTTTCCAGATTGTGCGACGCTATGACCCGTCCGACCCAACCGATGACCTCGAACACGCCGCATAGTCCGGCTGTCCAAATTAGGTAGCGCATCTTATGTTTGACGGCCAAATATATGTGCGCCACTGAAGATCGATGTTAGGTATACAGTAGCGGAAGCACGAGGATAAATACGCACCCGTCGCCGCGAGAAACCACAGCATGAAGAAGATAGCGGCATGTCCATTGGGCTTGTAGTGGAAGAAGAACTCTTGATGTCGAGGTGAAGAGGTGTCTGCTGCGTATTCGATGCGTCAGAATAACGAGAGCGCGTTTTCCAGTAGCTGAATGCGTACCCATAGGTAGAGTCGTACTTGCGAGGTCTGCAGGGAGAGTGATGACCTCGCCAGGAGATCGATTTGTTGCGTCTTGGACTCTTCCATTTGCCTTTATACAGACATAAGGAGCCGCTCGTTTTGTCGGTGCAGTGAAGTAGACGGAGAACGGCGCCGTGAGCGCACGCGTCAGCAAGATGACGCCGCGCAATGAGGGCCGAAGGGTATAAGACACGAGCCGGCTTGCGTGCTGCGGGAGGCTGTGAGTCCCCAGATGGTCGCTGCACAGCTTAGGCAAATCGAATATCGAGTCGCAAGAGAAAGCGACGTCGCTAGTGTGCTATGTACCTAGTTATAGCCTTGGGACGCGGGTCCCATTGCGGTGCTCAATGGTGAAGCGTTAGGTTGTTGGCGTGATGCAGTATGTGTCACGTTTGCCAGGGTGGTGTCTTCAGTCGCTGAGTGGGTATTGTGCATTGGATGACGGTATGGTGGTTGTGCTGCTCAGGCCCAGGTGCGAGATGGGCGCGCAAGGCAAGACTCGACAGTGATGGGAACATTGCGGCAATTCCCGCTCCTGCCGAGCCGAGCAAATGATCGCTCGAACTGATTCTCCTCCATTACTCTCATCGAGTCCTAGAGATACGCGCCGGCGAAACTAGACTCATAGACATTTATCTGGGCACGCATTTGCTCAGAGCATGAGTCTCGTTCTCGCAGATCATCCTGACGAGCCATGCTTGATCTCCCGCCTGAACGCCGATCTACTTCAGCTCGTCTTCGAGATCGTTGCCGACCTCGAACGCCCACCTCTCAATCAGCCGACGGTGAAAGGCTGCTGGATGAGGGTCGGTCACGTCTGTCGGCTTTGGCGATCGCTCATACTTGGATTGCCGTCTTTATGGGCGCGTGACGTTTGCGCGTTTGGCGTACACGAGAGTTTCGACTCCATCTTAGACCGAGCCGGAGGGGCGCCTCTTCATCTCGACTTTCAAAGGGACATACCGGACTACACACTTGCTCGCATGGCTCCGCTTATCTCGCGCGCTCGCATACTGCGATGCATCATACGATCACCAGAGGACTATGATTCTGTGACCTCCACTTTGAACTCAGAGCAACTCCCCCATCTAGAAGTCCTCTCCATCGATCTGGATCCACTCATAATAGACTTGGTCTCTAAGCACCGAGTAGAGCCCAATCAAAAGTGCGCAATGAGGCATCTGCAGATGAAAGACACCGTAGTCCTCCCACCGCACAACGGCCTTCTGACTTCCTTGGTCATCAACTTATTCGAGTCGGAGCGAGTGATGCGGTTCACTATCCAGGAAATCGTCGATGTATTGCTGCAGAATCTCTCGCTCAAGTCCTTGACATTGAACTATGCTCTGCGTGACGCAGAAATGATCACCAATTCCTCCCGTATCGTTTTGCTAGAACTAGCGCAACTCACTATCCATCAAGATCACGGCTCGCCATTCGCGTTTGAACTGCTAAGCCTTTTGCTCGTACCCAACGCCACGCATCTGGACGTTACCGATGACTGCACCAACACACCCGCGCAGGTCACTCGAGCTTTAACCTGCGCGATGAGTAGTTGTGCGGACTCGTCCGTGCTTCAGTCGCCCGAGCTCTCGCTCAAGGTTTTACGCGGATGGTACGACAAACCTACCCCCCAGTTGGACATCAATCTATGTCCTTCGCAGAGCGTCGGCATATTGTGGAGCACGGAGGCTCCGATCAGATTCGGCCTCTTCCCCGATCTTCATCACGACCCTCTTACCGCTCATGAGATGTTGCACGCTGCGCTGCAGCAACTCTCCGCGAGCAAGGTAGCGGATCGTGTCACTCAGCTCTCTTGGTATCCATGGCCCTCGGAGGCGGATCATGACACATACTGGACGGAGGTTTTACGCTCATTCCCCAACACCGTTTCGCTCCTAGTTTCGAGCAGCACAGAGAGGTTCGCTGCTTTGTTCAGTGCCCTCAGTTGCCACGAACTTCTACCAAACTTCACTCAACTATCAGTTGAATGCGATCAATCCGAGGACGTACCTCAGCCCCGAGCCATCGAGCATATGCTCCGCCAACGGCTGGCGGCAGGGTCGCCCATCTGCGAGATCAGGCTGCAGAACCTGTACGGGATGTCACGCACCGCATCCGTTCCGAAGATCACAGCCGCCGAAAAGACGATGAGGGACTTGGCAAGGAAATTGAATGCTGCAGTGACAGTTCAGGATTGGGCGGAAGTCGTGAAGGGAGAAGGGATACTATATTTAGGGACAACCTTTACGTTTGTATATTGATCGGTCCAAATCATTCTTATCGTCCTTACCTGATGTTGGATGCCAGCGGGCCAATTTGATCATAAAGTCGGAAGATAAGATGGGTCTTGCTCTAAGTTCTGCAAGCCTCTCAACAAGGACACGTACTCAATGTTCATCACCCTATTCGTACATCGTAACATCCACACGGGCAGCAAGCTAACATTCACGAGAAGACGACGCGGTATCCAATGCGCACAGCTACGACTCGAAAGTTTCGCTCGTCTTCATCACACAACTCCTCCAACCGCGACCTTCGTGCCAAAGTTGTAGTGCTCTCCAATCTTCTGGTCGAACTTGACATTCGCGCCCTTCTGGAAGACCATCACAATATCCGACCCGCCGAACTGGAAATACGAGATCTCCTGGCCCTTCCTCACGGTATCGCCCTTCTGGACGCTGAGCACAACGGACGAGACCTGCGCCATACCAATAGGCAGCACCGCGACGCGACCAAGGAGAGGGTTCTCGATGAGGATGAGCCCGCGCGCCTGGAGGAACTGGTACCCAGGGCGGTCGGGCGCTACAATATCGGCGGAGCCGCTAGCCGATGGGAGAATGCCGCGGTGCGCAGCCGGGAGGCGCTCGTCGTCCTTAGGGCGGATGTAGCGGTGCATACCGAGCTTGAGGCCGCCCGTCGCGTCGCTCTGCTGGAGGATCACCTCGAGGTAGCACATACCCGGGATGACCCTGGCCTCGAGGACCGTGCCCGCGACAGGCGCGTGCTGGCGGTGGTAGTCGGCGGGGCCGAGGAAGGAGTGCGTGAAGACGCCGCCGGCAAACGTCGGGCCGAGCCCGGCGTCGTCGAGAAGCTGACTAATGGTCCACGGCACGCCTTTGACGTCGAACGTGTTGACGTTCGCCTCGTCGTTCACCGGCCACGTCCCGTCGAAGGTGCAGTCGGCCGCGTTCACGATCACGGTGTTGTCGTCCGGCTCGGCGATGGGTCGCACGGCGGGCTTGATGTGGCGCGCGAAGAACTCGTTGAACGTCTTCCAGCCGCCGTCGGGCACGGGATAGTCATCCATATGGTAGCTCGGCGCGGCCTTGAACGTCTCGACCGCCTCGGGCGTGATCGAGTCGGTCGTGTCCATCCACTTGCCGACCTCCTTCGCATAGCGGATGAGCCAGTCGGACAGCCACCGCCACGGCGCTTCCTGAGACGGGTCGATCGGGTTCTGCCAGTCGCGCACGGGCGGCATGTCGATGATGAAGTAGAACATGCAGAGGTGGATGTAGACGTTGGTGCCTGTCGAGTTCTCGGGGGGACCCACTTGAGGAAGCGGTTCATGTAGCCGAAGTAGTCGTCGAGCGTGGCGATGTTGAAATCCGCGAACTCGCTGAGGCCGGTGGACATGGCGAGCGTGAAGGAGTCTTGCATGGCTTGTTTGAAGGTCGGTTCGGCGTTGAGCTTGTTGACGAGCTCTTGAACGATAGGTTCGTGGGACATCTCTGCGAGGAGTATGTGAACAACGGAGAGTGGTCGAGGTCCGGGAAAACTGACTGTACTGGTTGAGATAGATGGGGTCAAGCTATGGAGGACGGGTCGTCGATCGATCTAAGAAAGCATGCAGGTCAGGGATTGAAGGTCAGTGGAGGAGTAGCTGTGCGCTCACTGAGATGTAGTAGTCTCAGCTTGCGGGTTGAGGACCTAGCATACCGCTCTCCTTATATATGCTTGAGTCGAGATACACAGACGCGTGAGTCGACAGAAAGTTGAACCCTCGGTATGCCTGCGGTGTCATTGAGTTTGTTGTGCGGTTCAAAGAAACATCTCGTGAGCTCACTGAATGCATAGCCCGTCGATGTCATTCCGGAGACGAGAAAGCTCCTGTTGTCTATACATAGAAGAGAGACAGTATTCCGTACGCCGCCGTCCTCTGAAGGTAGACGTTGAGAAGCGTGGACTTGATGCTCGTGGCGGCTGAACGTGACCTCATCGACGGATTGTTGGCACCACCGGGCCTTCGTATGCGAGTGCAACATTTACCATAGGTCAAGATGGCGTAGGTTTACTCATGGTAGAAGACGAAGAACTACGTCGACGTGTTCTTCTCGACGGGCTCTTTGCACCACCGGGCCATACGTATAACTTCTGCAGTATCTGGCGTCGCCGTCATATCGTGGAGGACATCTTGCACCACCGGGTCTTCGTAGAGTTCTTGATCTTCTACTGCATCTGGAAACGCCGTTATGATGCACGGAACCATCGGCGTGGGTGCCATTATAAGCGGGATGATGTGGCGGAGGCGCAAGAGTTGACAGAGGTGGAGAGTCGTCAAGCGGTGTATGTAAAGCTCAAATGGCGGTTGCCCTAGCGGGTATACAATACTGCGCGCGCATACAGGCGGGCTGCATCACGCTGACTTCGCGTGTGTAGCCGCTCGGGAAACGGTTGCAGGGTGTGTATTAGCGCTGGGTTCACTATGTGCAAAGCGATCAATCAGCGCGCGTCTTGTATGGTGCATAGGCGCCAACGTACCGTTTAAGCTAGAAGGCCAACTTGGCGCACGCGAGGCGCTTCGAATACGTCCGTGTCCGCGTCTGATTGTCCATGGAGTACTGGTAAAGCCTAGTTGAACGATAACTTCATACCGCCTTGCCTTGCGCGACCCAGTGTGATCTAAAAGTACCGTCAGTATGAGCATGGCGTGCCCAGGAGATCGTTCTGGATCATGATATGCCCGCGCGCTTGAAGGCACTGGTAGCCAAGGTCGTGAGGCGACTCGAGAGAACTTTTCGCCGCGTCCTGGTCCTGGGCGAGGACGCGTTCATCGTCCTTCGCGGGAAGGCAGCGGCGCATGCCAAGCTTGGGCTTGCCATCCGGGACTTGCTCGACGACGACGTCGAGGTAGCACAGACCGAGCATGATCCTGGCCTGGATGACATCGCCTGCGACGGACGCGTGCCGCCGGTGATGATCGTGCGGCGAGAGGAAGGAGGGCGTGAAGACGCCGCCGCCGAGCGTGGGGCCGAGACCGGCGTCACCGAGGATCTGGGTAATGGTCCATGGCACGCCATTAACGTCGAGCGTGTTGACGATGGCCTGGTCGTTCACTGGCAAGTACCCTGCAAACGAGCCCTTATTGTGGCGGGACGACGCAACGTCGCCTGTGACACCGCGATTGGCTTTTGCTGCAGAGCGAGGTCAGTCTCGTGTACGGCGCCACGGCGGCGATCTGGCGCACCTGCTATGATTGGTAGCTTCACCCCTTACTCCCATAACGTGGCGGTCCAAGTTTGATCTAAGAAGTACAGTCAGTGTATGGCATGGAAGGGCTCGGATGCGAGGACGAACGGGAGCAACACCTCGGTATGGAGTTCTTACGGAGCCTCTCTTCTTTCGCCGTCGCTCGAGCGGCCATTCGGTCTTGATGATGCAAGGTCGGTCGCTCAGGTCGCGACACATACGGTAAACAAATATGAATTGCTCGAATAGGCTAAATACCCATATACATGAGGGTCAGGTATATACGCGTTGCGCGAGTCGGTAGAGTACGAAGCCGTCGCCCGAGACGGACACGTCCTCTTATGCCCTCTACCCTCATGCTCCCCACTCCAACCTCTCCGCCAGCTCGAATCCGGCCCAGGTGTCTATACTTTCAACGGGGTGAGGCGAGCATCCTGGGCTTCGGCGAGAGGCGAGCCACGCCTGTTCGCTGCGGTGACTAGGGCCGAAGAGCAAGAGCAACGGGACCCACGATTGAGCTGTCGCGAGGGCGAGGTGAGTTGGCGTGAGTTGTAGAGTGCGGTAGTCGAAAGTCGGCGCGTAGATAGGCGCTTGCCGGCCGAGTGTGTGGACGGGCATCGCGTTCTGCTCCGCATGACGAGCATTGGCCGAGATGCGCGTAGGGAGTTGGATTATGGTCGGCTACGACCAGGAGTAGAGCCAGGAGAGCAAGCGAGGGAAGAGAGAAAAGAGCGTCTGCGTCATGGTGGTCGGAGCACAAGAGGCGCGTCGGCCTGATCGAACGTGTGTTGACTTCAAGCTCCCACCGCTCTCCCGATCACCTTCTGCCGAATTTGCCCTCTTAGTATATGCTTCAAGCCCGACGACCTGCGGAAATGGAGGGCGGTTAGCTGTAGTACACGGAGCGGTATGGCTTTGCAGCGGGAATAGCAGGTGCGTTCGCATGACCAGCGCTACTTCTATTGCTAACGAGCCTCTCAGTACACACTTCCTCATCATGACCCTCCCTTCCACCCCGCCACACGATGCCCGCCGCCGTCCTGACCGGCCACACGCACGCAGTCACCTCCGTCGCCTTCTCCCCAGACGGCACACGCATCGTCTCTGGCTCCAACGACTTTACCATCCGCATCTGGGACGTGGAAACGGGCGAGACGATCGGCAAGCCGCTCGAAGGTCACCACCGCTCCATCACCTCCGTCGCCTGGTCTCCAAACGGCAAGCTCATTGCCTCTGGGTCGTACGACTGCACCGTCCGACTCTGGGACGCGAAGACAGGAAGCGCGGTGGGCAATCCGCTGAAGGGACACACCGACTGGGTCTGGTCCGTTGCCTTTTCGCCAAACAGCCAGCGGGTCGTCTCCGGCTCCGAAGACCGCACCGTACGCATATGGTTCACCAAGCCCGGCAAGGCGGCGGGCAAGACGCTCAGAGGGCACTCCGACGTCGTGCGCTGCGTTGCTTTCTCCCCAGACGGCAATCAGATTGCCTCGGGCTCGTACGATTATACGGTCAGACTTTGGGACGCAAGCACCGGGGGACGCGTAGGCGAGCCGCTCACAGGCCATACGGATCGGGTGATGTCCATCGCCTTCTCCCTCGACGGCAAGCGCATCGTATCCGGCTCGCGCGACTGCACAATCCGCATCTGGAGCCTCGATGCCAACAGCGAGGACGAAGGCAAGAAGATCGGCGAGCGTCTGTGGTGCGTTAGCGCCGTCGCCTTCTTCCCGGACGGGCGTCGCGTTCTCTCGGCGGCGGCTTGGGTTCTCGGGGTGAGGGTGTGGGATGTGCAGATGGGGTCGGCGGTTGGGGAGCCGTATGAGGGGCTTGCGAGCGATATTAACGCTGTGGCGGTTTCGCCGGATGGACGGCGGGTTGCGTCGGGGTCGGACGATTGTACGATCCGGATTTGGGATGTACAGCACGCACGTAAGCTCGCCCAGCCTTTATGAAGCATCCAACGCGTTTTGACGAAGCGACGTACTCAGAGCTGTAACCCTTTCTGCCTGGCTCCCGCCGCGCGTAGGACGAGAGGAAGATACTACGTGAACGCTCGACCCGCGCAGTGCCCGCTGCCCCGGCTTCGATCTATGTGCATATACTCGGGCTAATCACGTTCGATGGGCGAAGAGTGGATATCGCTTGCAGTACGCGACATGGGAATTCACCGGCGGCTTTTCCCCGGTGCGCCTTGCGCGTCGCCGACTTTCCACCTTCGACATCGTCCAACATCACTCTCCATACACACGCCCTTTGTACACGACACGCCGGATCACATAGCCCATGTTCTTCTTCCAGGACTGTACTATGGACAGGTCTCCTCGCACGGACGGGCGCGTTCATACCGCGCGCCCCCGCGCTACGTTGTACGATCAGATTACCTGAGGATTATCATTTCCTTGCGTCGGCCTTGTTTTCCGGTCGTATTCCGACGCTACGCTCGCTTTCGGTGGACCTCAGTTGCTTCAGTATGGGAAAGGAAGCTTGGAAGAATATCATCGTCGCCAGCGACAATCAGATCACGGAGCTCAGGATGCGCTTCCTCTACATACGGCCCCCTCAACATGGACGACTGGCATCATCATACGCGCATCTTGGCCAGAGCCTATCCTACACAACGTCCTCGACATATTATCACGCAATTCCGCCTTGATAGGCGTTCACCTGGCGTTCGCAGTCCCGAATGGAGACGCCATCTCAAGACCTACGCCCATCCTCATGCCAATTCTATCCACGGTCAACGTCCACGTCCTAGACGATTCCTCCTCCTTCAACCTTCTCGCACATTTGCGCCTAACTACTGTCGCACGTCTAGACGTATCAGAGCGCACGGTCAATACGGTGGACGGCGTCACAAGAGCGATGGAGCGCACCTTGACCGCTTGTGCCGGATCGCTTTCCTCACGCTGACAAAGCTACTGTCGTGCGCTCCAAATGTGGCCCGCCACGAAGTCGATACGAAGAAGATGGACAGGCGCTTGTGCTTCCTCGTATGGGCAAGCTGACGTTCAAACGCGATCCTCAGTCTGGCTCACATCCCCGGCAAATCTTCTGGTCACCCGGCTTTCGAGCTTGCGCTTTCAACCCGAGCCCGGCGGCTCGGTTCGCCCATACAGGAATTTGGGATCGACGCTGAAGATCTGGGCCAATGGAGAGATCCGAAGCTCGAGTACTCTGTGAGACGAAGGTGCAGATGGAGAGGGTGGT